TCTCTTGACCTTTTTTCCTGCTGCTCTCCAAGGAGAGAGGCCTGAGGCCATCCCTGGTCCTCTACCCCTCATAAGCACCATTCCCTTATGCTGGTTTCCAGACATTTGTGCAATTTGCATGGAAACTGTTGCTCTTGAACAGCCTCCCACAGCCCTTAATGATTATTCTTCACTCCAACCGAACAGTGTTACATGCGACAGACACTAACCATTTCTCGATTCTTCTCACTAAAATAACACTATTATAACCAGCTCTGTATCCTGCCAGTCATCACATCAGCCCTTGCTCTTAATCATCCCCCAAAACATAATTATCGTCTTACTTTCCTGCCATATGATTTTCTTTTGACAAACAAAAAATAAAGTAAAAAATATTATAAGAGATGAAGGCAAAGTTTTGGGTTTGTGTGTTTTCAAAAATCTGTAAAAAGTTACTTTCTCATACCTCTAAACAGGGACTCATTTCACTGATTGGTTCTCTTGGTTGTTAAGATTTTTTTCTCTGACACGATGGAAGAGATTTGCCAGAAGCAGCAAATATTTTGGCAAGTTGCAGGATAAAACAGCTCCCATGAGAGCATAATGGGTTTTTTTGTTTTTCATATGGGAGGCTCCTAGGAGCTGTTGCAGTGTGCCCCCTTTCACTGATTTGCTTCTGATATTAAGTTAAGAGTAAATTTGAATCCTGCAAATCTAATTCAAAATTTTAAAGGATTTCTTGGCCACAAGTGGTGTTGATGCCTTTTATACTTGGAGGCCACATCATTGTGACATAGGAATTATATATTGTTAGTTTAAAATGAGGCTACATAATGGGCATTGCAATCAGTGCAGTCTTACAGCAGCAAATGTTTATAAATTACTACCATATGCTGATTCTAATAGAGCAAATTTTATTTAAAATAATTATCAGACTTTTCACCTTTTTAAAATGAAATTTGAGTTTAGGCAGGTTTAATATGGATTTAATATGTTTAGTATAACAGATGATCAAATAAGGCATAAGGAATTGCTCTTATTAAAAAATCTGGAAAACCCACAACACAACAAAAACATGCCTGCTCTCCAGCTGGAACGCGCTTGCTCCTTATTGACTAGGTTACCAATCAACCATAAAATGCAAGACAGCTGATGGTTTCAAGGCTGCATCTGCATCACAGATCGTATTGTAGATGTCATAAATTATAATTTAGGATGCCTAGGAGTGACACAAATACGCATGAGTTTTTTTCCTTGGATTACAATTACAGTACAGCAGTGCCTATAACGTGCTGGAGTTGATATGGCAGGTGAAAAAAGGGAAAAAGAAAGGGAAAAAATGAATCTTGGAATTAAAGACTTTAAACTGAAAGCCTGGAAATGCAACTAGGGGCTTCAGCAGATTTGCATGACCTTCGCGAGGGCTATGCCTGTACCATGAAGGCTGCAGAGCTGATAGCAGGGCAGGCTGGAGCACAGCAGCTGGGAAGCAAGCACAACCTCAGTCTTGCAGGTTGCCACATAATTTTGGAGTGACTTCGAGTTGCTGTGGTTAAAACTCGTCCTAAACAGGATCACTGTTACAGCAGGGACACATACTGACTCACAGACTTGTCTGTGTTCCCAAGTGTGTAGTAGAACTAATAACTTTCTTGAAGAAGGTGCGTTGCTGTAGGATTAAGTCTCTTAATGTTAACAAAGTTCTCTGAGCTTTCTTATAAAAGGGTTAATATTTGAGTATTGATGAGGCTGTAGACTGAACTGGTATTGAAACCTCATTGATCAGCTAAAATAAAAAAAGAATCATATTGTTATAGAGATGTATTTTAATAGTCAGTAGACTTGAACCTATGGCTTGAAAAAAGCAAGATGCCCACAGATCTTTTAATATTGCTTGTAGCCATGTGAAGCGGTTGCTTTGATCCAGACTGACAGAAGGCAAAGTACAACCTTGCCTGTATTGCTTTGCTTACCCAGTATTACCGCCCATGGGTCTGAGAGGGTTAGGTAACACTAGTCTAAGGAACACTTAAAATAGAAGCACACAGTTTACTTTTGGGGGTTTTGATTTAGTGGCTTAATATATTTTCTTTAAAGGAACAGTGGCAATGATTTCCTGAACAAGGATGGACAAGGAGTCAATGAAAGGAGCAATACAGAGAATCAGCAGCAAAAGTGAGTTACAAAGCAGAAGGTGCAGTGGTGCGTCAAGTAACAGAACTGATCTTTCAGCCTCTAGCATAATACAAGATAAATTTGCATCATCCATTTGATACTACTTCAGTGGGTGTGAATACAAAGCCATAATTTCTAGTATTTGCAAGACAGGAAAGTTAACTAAAAGGGTAACTGCAGGTAGAGATAGGGAAACATTTCCACATTTGCACGAAACTCATCCTCCTCTTCTTGCAATCACTAGGACAGCATTATCCCAACCTTTTTCCAAGCAGGTTTTCTGTTGATTTAAAATTATATCATGCCTTATTAAAGTGTATGAGACTCCTGATGCTAAGTTAAAGTAGGTAGAAATAGCTTGCTCCCTTTGGTTAGTTAATAGTTCCCTGCCATGGACTTTTTATTTGTAAGAATGCCTAGCTCCAGTCCTGGAAGACAATAAGAGCTATTAAGCTCCAAACAAATCACAGGAAACACTCAAAACCTTGCCAAGTGTTTCGTTTCTTTGTTAAATTACAAAGACATACATGCTAAAAGTGTTGTTCCTACTGTGTTTTAAGTGAAGTACTGATCTTTCAGCTCTCAAAAAGATCCCCCTGTTCTCATTGAAATATATGGAACAATTTGTGGGAAATCAGTGGGATTACTCATGTGAATAACATGTACATTCTCCAAAAAGTTATTCATAGTGCTTTTCTAATAACATGCTACTGGAGCTTTATTTGAATGAGACTCTCTGTGATATGAACTGCTCTGAATCTCAGTGTAGCAGTACTGTAGGTTACCTGTTGTCTAAGTTTGTTAATTATGTGCCAAAGCCCCAGACGTGATGTGGGGAGTCAGTAGCTAACAGGGCTCACAACAGCCAGAAGCAAACCAAGGAAACACTGAAGAAGATCTCCAGACTGCAGCAAGGTTCATATGAGAGAAAGGAATTAACAGCCCATGATCACTGCCTTGGGTTACCCACCTACATTTCTTCATTTTGGTAATGGATGAGTACTTCACAGGGGGAACGGGTTAGGGCAGATGATGAGGAAGTACTGGTACCACCATCATCTTTAAAATTTTAACCACTCTTCTATTGAGGATGTGGGTGACCAAAGTCAAGTCACTCTCCTTCCGTGGGTGTTCACAATGACGTTGCCCTGGGGAGCAGACCCAGTGAGACAGGATAACTCTACATGCTGCATCCTCCCTCCCAGCAGTCACG